AGTTTCAATGTTCAAAGTCTAACATAACTCTCAAAATTGCTTTGACGCAGTTATTCTTAGAAATCGATTTAAAAATTTGGCTTTTATGAGAAGAAAACGGTTAAAGGTAGTGGATGGGAATGTGTGTTTTTCAATTTCATTTCATCTTTATCAAGCAGCAAATCAAAAAAGATGTTCCTCAAAGTTCTATAACTCTTGTCCATGCAGCATAACAAGCTAAAATAGAAAGCTAGAGAGCGGTCGTACGCGGCCAGTACCATTTATAAAATAACTGTAATGAATGTCGCCCTCTGATTGGTTTGGAGCGCGTGCTTTATGAGAGCACATTGCACGCGCGCGCACTTTCCGTTGCTACATTCCTATCTTTTATTGTAATTTGTATTTTATAAAAGAAATAAGAAAAACTTGCTTGCTGTGCTGTATTTTCTACTCCGCTACGCGTCGTGCTTCTCCTAACACTTCTCTCGTGTTCTGCTAGCCCCCGCGTGCTTTATGACAGCACAAAGCACGCGCGCGCGTTTTCTATTTGCTGCAAATAGATGATCCTAAACCAGATAAATCAGGTATTTCCATGAACTTAAAAACCTTAACTATGCGTGACGCTGATGGCTTTGAACGCATACTCACTCCTTTCCGTCTGGGATGCATCATGAAAACTAAAAAGAAATTGCATCATAGTTAGTTTGATCTCTTCAAAAGCTTTACTTTTGATTCATGAAAAAGGACCATACATCCAGACATCGAGTGCTGAACCGTCGTATGGCAGCGCGAAGCATTTACGGCTACGCCGGAGATTTCGACCCCGACACCGCTATCCGAAGATTTACAGACTGATCAGGAAGCTCGGCCAAAATCTAAGGAAGAAGTTAGTCGGCCCCTAGTCCGTAGATGATTAACCTCTTGCTATGACCAGCAAACTCAAAAGTCTTGATTGTGACGGGGATGGCTTTGACTGCATACTCCATGTCCGGCATGCGCAGATGTTACGGGAAAGTAAATTATTATTATGAATGTTAAAGAAGATATAACTAGCTAAAAACTAGTGTAAGCTGCGTCGGTGTTTCTAATAAAACAATAATGATAAAAAGGTAAATTATACACCGTGAAAAGATGAAAAAACTTACTGATGTTTCGGACGCTAGTCCTTCGTCGGACTAGCGTCCGAAACGTCAGTAAGTTTTTTCATCTTTTCACGGTGTATAATTTACCTTTTTATCATTACTTATTATTATGAATAAAAATTAATGAGTCAATTGTTATAGGGCAATGTTTAGACCGATTTGAATTATTCCAATACTGCAGTTTCCTACTCACAATATGGTTAGGGTTAGGGTTAGGGTAAGGGGTACGAGAATATATTGTTAGGGTTAGGGTTAGGGGTACGTGATGTTGAGGCCACTAGCTCAACAGTATAGAATTCCTGTTTTCCCGCCGTTTTGTGCTGTGTGAGTCCGCTAACCAGTTAATGTCGCTGTCGCGT